GGTTCGTTGAAACCTGGATGTGTAGCGTTAAGCTTTGTAGAGAAACCCCTGTTTATTTTGACGGTGTTCTCCACGATTAAATGTATGATGTTGGTGGGCAGCGTGACAATGTGTTACTCATGCAGCCGGTGGTAAACGCACGATTAACAGTTGCGGCATAATTAGATCACACAAATTATTTAAAGAATCCAACAACCTTTTGTGGTTTCGAAGTTTTGTCTTCAGCATTTTTCTGTCTTGTTTACGGGTGCACGTAAACGAATAGTTTTCTTAAAATTTAGAAGGGTGCTTCAATTTCAGTGTAAAACTCATAAATTCTAACGCCATGCAGGTCTCGGACTGTCTTCTGTGCAAACCATTTGAATAATTGCGCTGAGCTCACTGGCTAACTACATCTGATTATCGCGCAGGCGCACATGTTTTGGTAAGCATTACTTTCTCTACTCTAGGACAGTGCTACAAAAATCAGATTATCTTCGCAATGCGCAGTTCTTTTGAACTCTCAGCAAGAAACAGTTGGGGGGCTACATGTGAAATTTTTGACGCTTTCTAAGTAACACGCACCTTACACACAACTGGCAGACACTAAAGTCCGACAGTTTGCTCCAGCTACTCCCAGTAATATCTTCAATGTTTCTATATGTGAGCAAAAAATCAGAAGGGAGCGATCGTTGAAGAATTTGCCTTAAGTTTTTAACCATCTTTAGTAGCTAAAGTATAGAATATTGTTGATATGATAACCATATGATTTAGTTAAATAATAATTGCTACAATTGCAGGTCATTTGAACGTGTTCAAAAGACCGTGGAGCATACGCGCGGATTATTTTTTACATGTTCTCACCCCCTTCCAACAAACAGTTTCTACTCACTGTGACTACGATTTCCAAAATATTTTGGAGTTGGAACGTAAGAAGCACATGTACGACATTTTTATCGCCTCGGAAATACAGTTTACCTATATTCTCTCACAGCAAGTACCAGTACGATGTCAGTGTAACTGCTCCAATCAGGAAAATTGCTATGTTCGCAAATAATTCACTATTTTGTTCTACCACTTCGTGATAATTCTTTAGGTGTTTTATAGACTAACACTAATGTTTTAATTTTGAGAAATCCGGTCAACCGTGGGATTGTATTGTTGCGTCTATATCAAATCATATTTTCTGTTAATGCAAATTTTGCTGATTAACATAACAAAGTTTTGCTGATGTTTCGCTGGGCTGGGGAATCAGTTTTCGCGTTTATCTTGCGGAGGTGACAAAATTCAAAATTCTGGCCAAAAATGATGTGCTATGTGAATCCTCCAGATATGAACTCCCATGTTAAAACGCCGGCAGAATGTCTAAGCTGACCATGTTATAAGATAAAGTACCGTTTTCTTATATTAGTTAATATCTTTAGCTGACATTTGCTTATTTTACAGATTATTCTACGCAACAATACGCAACTGGACTCAGTAACACGCTAGCAAAATTCTATGTTTGCAAATGCAAGTGCCATGGTTATTTTATCTGGGCAGCTAAAAAATGATGTGCTATGTGAATCCTCCAGATATGAACTCCCATGTTAAAACGCCGGCAGAATGTCTAAGCTGACCATGTTATAAGATAAAGTACCGTTTTCTTATATTAGTTAATATCTTTAGCTGACATTTGCTTATTTTACAGATTATTCTACGCAACAATACGCAACTGGACTCAGTAACACGCTAGCAAAATTCTATGTTTGCAAATGCAAGTGCCATGGTTATTTTTTCTGGGCAGCTAGTAAAAAATTCATCCAACTGATTAGTGAATTTGGCTTCCCCGTGAAGATGCGTATTGATCTAGATGAGACGTCCCATCTCATATTTGCTATTCATTTCTACAAGTGCCGACCTTACTCTAAAAATATTCAAGCGGAGCAGATTAGTTCGGATGGTTAATCTTATGAAGTGCTGTTTATACCAAATATGAAACTAGAAGATTTGATTATGTATTGAGCTAAAAAGGCGATGAGTTAAACATCTGGAAAGAGCGGTAATCAGCAGTATTCAACGAGACTGCCACATTTATAGCAGCCAACGTTAGCAGCTGTATACTTAGAAGTGTTACCAGTTTTGTATTGCCCCTCAACATGTTAAACGTTTTGACTTACACAAACCAAGTGGCATGTACAACAGAATTTGGAGTAAAAAACTTTGGCGTAGGCTGGCAGAAATTAATTCATTACCCTGAAAACATCCTTTATTGTGGGCTACATTATTTTGTCAATAAACCAACCCAGTCGCAACACAAACATACTCGGCCCTCTCGTATGAGATCGAAACGGTTTACTGGTTAGAGCGATCGGTCAGTAGATTAGTCAGTTGACTTATCTACTGACCACGAGGTACTGTTTCTATACCAGCCTCATTAACCTACCTTCAAAACTTTGAACTTATGGCGGTCCTTAACTCCCACGCTTTCAATGAGTGCCATGGCGGCTATGAACCAAAACAGTGTTCTGAGAAAATAATTTTTCTGGCTGTATCTAACTGTCCACATTCTGCTCCCTACAAGCACAGTTGATCACGATTTCCTTTCGTTATTGACTTCAAATCATCAATTGGAAAATTCATAAGCATTCAAGTATTTGAACTAAAGTTTAACAGTCTTATCGGCGAAATGTGGTGTTGATTTACATGAAGTATTTGGATTCTAATCGGGGCTGGTTGATTCACCTGGAATTGGTCCCAATACGAGAAAAAACACAAGGAATCGCACATAATAATTAGTAGTAACCATAGCTATGATCTGGTGATAACATGGTCTTTTGCGTAATCCACAGCGGCGTAGTTAGTATAACCGAATTACCGAGATCAGTCTGATTTTTGAGAGTTTTTCGCAATTCGGCTTTAGATCAAACTCAAATAATAAAAAGATGCGGTCTGGTGAACTGCAATAGACGTCCAAATCAATCACCCGTTATCTAATGATACTGAGAACGCGAGAGTATATAAACTTGCTCCCACTGCTATTCACAATTTTGTGGTCCACCTCCGATTGGGACTGACTATAATTTCGGCTGCCTACACGCTGCAACCACAACTAGTTTTATTAATTTCCCAGATCAAATAGTACTAAATTTGCCGCGCGTCAGCCGCATTGTACCAAACTGCATCGCCCCATTGCTGTTATAAAGTGCTATTACAGTCCTCACCAAAAGTGAACAGCCTGCAGCCGTAGCAGCAAACGCGACTCACAGAAAATAGTTGTATGTATAAACTAACCGGTTTATTATTTAAGTCCAATTATTGAAGACTTCACAGCCTTGCGTCAAACCCGTGAATTCTACGTTACTGTTATCCGAAATGGAACACTTGATCGCCAAAGTTGTCTCTGCGTTACAGTAATCATTATAGTCGGGAGTATTTTCATGATATTTTCTACACTGTTCGGTACATTGCCAAATATTCGCATATTATAAACCGGTGGCATACGTCTAATGTTTCGTTCATGTTGCTTCAGCAGACTTTTGCACATACATTTATTACACATGCTTCCAAAGATATGAGTCGTTGAAACAGTACTGAGTCAAAGTTGTGATTCAACTGATCTCATCAAAACTTCAGTAAAGTGCCATTTTCTAAAGCACCTTTGGATAAATGTACAATTAACAATAACGTTCTTGTAGCCAAGTAATCTGTTCCATTTTCCAATGTACACAAAATGCGTGAAATAACTAACAAAGATTGTATGTTGCGTAAGGCAATCCCAGGGGCGCTTAATTTGGAGGCACTTGTCAGTTACTTAGGAACTAGAAAGTTTACATTTATGGTTCACCATAACGTGCTTGACAATGTAGTGGAAACGATACATGCTTAGGTTGCACCCTCCTCTTTTAGTCAAGGTAAACAGACTTTTAACATAGTGTTCCTCGATGAAATATGTCGCTCTGGGCCATGTGGCAAGAGTGACTATGACTAACCACGTGGTCTTTATTCAGGTAGGGAGACAGAAAACTTCAACATGTGGCAGTAACGAGCAAAGGGGTCTATAATAGTACGATTATCTCAATGAACCTATCAGCTGTATTCTTTTGAATGCACGGGATTGTCTGCCATCAGTGGAGGCTGCACGACTGATTCCTGAAAATCATTTTTTCTTGGAGCCTGCATCTAAAAATTTTGGAACGGAACTTCCCATTATTTTCTTGTACTAGGAATAATAAAATCTGCACGCTACCAAAAGCGTGATCTGCACGTATCACAATATTTTAAGCTCTCCCGAATAAGAAACTTTTTAGAAGAATGATAACGTGGCATGTTTATCAAGTACTGTGCCGATCATTCCCGGAAGATTAATTATGAACATAGGGGAGTAATCTGGTAGATAAGTGTATCTGATGTCCTAGAATTAGACCAAGTAACGTGTTCTTACGGCATCGCATTTGAAATGCAAAATAATTAAAAACTTACGAGTAGGATATTTTAATAAAACCCTTAGGGCTTTTCCGGGACTGAAGTCACAACGTAGTCTTAGGTCTGTTGTGATACGTATAGACGTAGTTGGACTGAATCGTTATTGGTGACGAAAATCGATTAGCAAGCAGAAGCCCTCAAATATTTTTATCATTTTATTATCACTACAGCTATGCTGAAAATGAAACCCGGTTTCCGTAGTAAGCTCAAGTAGACTTCGTACATTTGCCTGATAATTTAAAAACCCAGAAATTGAGATTGTCCAGCGGTGAAAGGATTTAGATTTTTGGCTTATTTTTCGTCACTCTTAACAGATACTTTTAAAGCTGATACGGTTTTCTTGTCAAGCGTGCACTATCGGATACAAACCGCATTACTACCGATCTTCGGAATACATTTAACATCGTTCAGTCATTTAAAAATCATATACACCTATTACACCCCCATATTTCAACCACGCAAAATCCACAGAGATCTTAATTGTCACGTAAAAACTTTTACATAGGTATTGCATACTCAATAACCCGTGTTTTGGCCCCAAAAATGGTAGAGAAAAATCTTTTCGTTAGGCAGATTTTACTTCGCAAATTTCAGCAAAGTCACGAATAGCGATGCAGGAATTATAAAGAAGAAACAAAACGTCCCCCATCCTTTCGCACAGGACCGTCCAGAGATGTGTCATTAACCTAAGCAAATTAAAAATGTTTAATACCAGTTGAAATAACGAATGTTTGTGACGCGAAGATCATTCCTGTCTCAAATAAAAGTAAAAAGGCTCACCAATTTTCTGGATGAACCTGATAGGCCGTGTTTACGAAGGTGATTTACTCTGATAAAAATCTTTTGTTGTTCGAAATTTGGTGTTGATTGTGTACCTTTCTTCAATGGCTAATTTTATCTTGGGCTTTCGCGCTGACAAGAATCCAAAACAAGTGGATGACCTCACGACCGTGCATAAGATCAAATGAAGAGATGTCAGCAGTATATGTATTGTAATACTTTTGGCAGCAAAATTGCCAAACTTGAGCAATGAAATCGGAGATGTCAGCAGTATATGTATTGTAATATTTTTGGCGACAAAATTGCCAAACTTGAGTAATGAAATTGCAAGCTGCGTTCCTTCAGTTCCAAAAATTAGACACAACCTTAGCTAGGGGTAATTTTGTCTACTGACAATCAGCATACATTGTATAAGCTTTGAGATGATGAAGATGGTGCTTTATGACCGCTCTGAAAATAGTACGCAAACTGTTTCTAGCAGATATCATACATTCTTTAGTTGAGATGTTTCTCATTTCAGCATGACAATGGCTGTTTTCAATGTTCTACAAGTGAACTGCTATCAAGCATTTTGCATGGCTCGTGACACCTGTCGGCAACAAATTCAGGATTATTAGGACTGAGACCATATTTGAGGATAACAATAAAACCATGAAAAAACAAACTGCACAAATGTCTTTTGATTCATCATGTGCGTTAGCATGTGAGGGATACTTCAAGTGAGATATATGGAACAAGTGGGTCAACAGTTGATAGCTTGCACATCTACAAAAACGAAATATGTTGCCTGTATGAAGGCCCATTTTGCGCTGCAGTGTTCATTTCAATGTTCTTTGTTGGAAGCTGGGCTGATGCACCCGTCAGGAATACCCAAACGTCAGACTAATAGAGTATTTTTTATCCAAGCATATATAGAACGTTGGGTGAGTTCCATAAGGATTTTCGCCATTAGTTTTCTCAATATTGAAGTATTACTCATGCTGACCGCTTATTAAGTTGCGCAACTACGTCACACAGGATTTTTTGACATCCTTAAATGCTGCTGCTCATTGCCATGTATCTACGTAGGGTATCACTGTAAATTCGTTTTTAGAGCTGTTGCCCAAATCGCATACACGAGTTTGTGTGGCCAGCCTATAGTATATTACACATTCAGGAGTTTTTATAGTCACACTGATAGGTGGATTTCTGTAAATATCTCAAGAATTGTACTCAGGTGACATCAAGCTTTACCATTCACGATCCATGTTTAAAGAGGAACCTTAAGTTTTCGAAACATATGATACTATCAAATACGTTTCCTACATCGCTTCGTGTGACGGTTTTGCAAGAATACACCAACAGTCTGTGTCTCGCTATAATAACAAGTCATCAAGTAGGAGCGATCGCGCTTGATCAGTCCATCGACATTCTGTATTTTCGCAAATGGTGATATACCTGATTTGCGAAGAACATAGTATCAAAATCTTAACCACATCTTCCTTCATGAATATCTACGCAGACAGAGAAGGAGCAAAACAGGGTATCCGAATGCCTTTAAAAAGGCAGACTTC